AATTTGTAAATCGATTAACTACTGTGAAGTGAAAGTTTTACTTTGTTGATATTATTCTATTTGATTTTAATTTAACCCTTTAATGGTCCCTTTATTTCCAGTAAAGGTAAATTAAAGTATTTTTGGAATTGAAATTGTTTTAAGAACAGTATTTGATATTAAGAAGAAAAAAAACTCATTTAGTTCATAAAAATGCCATTTTTTTGGTGGTAAATATATTTAACATGACCTATTAGGAACTTACTGACTTTTATTTTTCTTTATTTATAAAATAAATTCCTTAAATGCTACAAACTTCAAAAGGAATTATGTATTTTATACGTTTTTTAAAAGTGACAAATGGTTACCAATTTTATTCAAACTCACTTCAAGAAAGCTGAAGTTATTGAAAAATGGAAACCTAAATTAAAAGTGGTAAAACGTGGTGGTAAGTATACTTACCACGGCCTACAAAAGGGTTAAGTTTAATTCGATTCTTGATTTTCGTATTCTTAGCTTTGTTAAAATAGTAAATACACTGTTTAATTGTATTTTCTTCACATTTCCAAGTACATAATTTATCTACGGCATTTCCAGTTTCAAACAAAAATTACTCAGAAGAAAACTAACTCTAATGCATCTCTATGAATCTCAAACTTGAAATTTTATGTGTTTTTCAGCTTAATGTGTTTTATGTTTTCAGACTTCATCTACAATTCATGCACATAAGGAAATGTAGATTGTTTGTAAATAAATGAAGAATAATATAACATTTAAGTAAAACTCAAATTTTTACTATGACCGATGTGTACAACCTTAAGGTTCTTGTTTGGTTACTACGTGCTACGTGCCCTTTGTTTTAATAAGTCAAGTTGCAGGATAATTTTAATACTGTTTAAGAGAGAATTAATAATTCAAAAAGTCAAAATATTTTTTAAAAAATTCAGTTTCTTTTTTTCTTCTTTTTTTTGAGAAATTTTTTATCTTAAAAATATTTAAAGTATATCAATTTCAAAATTTGTTTAAAATTGTAGGTTAGTAATTAATTTACAGTAAACAATGATCCCACTCTCTTTATTATGAACGGATAACGTTAAAACTTGTTGTAACTTGATTGTAATTTAAAAAATTTTATCAAAATGCATCATTATTATTTTATTTCTTTACTTGTTTATTTATTAATTAGTAGTAGTAGTATTTTCTAATTATTATTAGTTGTAGTAGTAATAGTATAAGTAATAGCATTATTATTAGTAGTAAAACAAAGCAAAGAATTTTCGCAATAGAACGTTGTGGCCCACGGGGGTCATGGAGCTCAAGGCTCCACAATTTCCTGACTAACAACATGATAGTAACAATGTGGCCAGCACTACGCACATGCCCTTTTTACTTCCCAGATAAGCTGGTGCCCATCGAACTGAAGCTGGGTGGGCCTGTAGTCGCCACTGGGTATTGAACCCAAGTTTTTTACAGTAACAGTTCAATTCCTTACCCACTGAGCCATTGCTGCTTAGTGGTAGCAGTAGTATAGCGTAAAATTTTCTTAGTATGAATGAGATGCCCATGGATTCTTGTAAGTAGTTCCAGAGTTATGGCAAAAAATGCAAAAAGTACACAAACCATAAATATTAAAAAATATATATATTAACGCCAATTATTATTAATCATGCATTAATTTATAAAAAAAGTTTTAAAAAAATTAAAATAATTTTTAAAACATTGGAAGTGAATCTAGATTAAAACTTTTATGATGCCCAGGCAACGTTTCTGGATTTCCAACTCGGCACTTTGTATTTCTACAGTTACGGTAAATGGCTTAATATCAGAGTTTTGAGTCAGAAGCTAAAAATATAGCGAAAACATGGTAAATAATAATGATTAGGGAAAAGAGAAGACGAAAAACTATTAAAAAATATATATATATTAGATAAAATATTTTTTTTAATAAAAATTAATATGAAAATATATTTTAATATATAGTACGATATATTTCGCTTCGGCTATATTAATACAATATTGGAAAGCACTTCTTTTTGCGGATATAATCGTGTGAGCTGATGGAAAGATTATATCTTTAAATTTTTCTGTTTTCCTGTTTTTTAATTTATGTTTTTTTAATAGTGTTTCTTCTACTCTTTTCATTTATCTTTAATATTTTCCATGTTTTCCCTATATTTTTAACTTACTTTATGAGTTCTATATACTTGCAGCTTATGCGCAGTAAATAGAACTTGTTAAATTTCTTACTTTTCTACGTTTTTGTCTTTTTATCCTTTTTGTCTTTATTGTGCTTTATATATATATAAACTAAACTCAGTGGCTCCACAGCCCATAGAGGGCCAAGGCCTATTGTGCCCATCTCAGTTTTCTTGACCTTGGGTTCTGGGGTGCAGGAGCAGATATTCCGGTTAGTCAGCCGAACGCGGATCCCCCAGTGTTTAGAATTAACCCCATGAAAAATGTGAAGAATATCTCAGTGAAGGAAGATGTCTGTTCCTTCACTAGCAGGAAGTTGTTGTTGTTTTTTTTAACAGAATTTTGATGTATTATATGACTAAAGGTACAAGAAAATCAAAAAAGTTTTCTTTTATTTCTATTAAGTTGGAAAAATCCCAGTAAAGGAACACTTGTTCATTCATTGGTTTTTCATCGTTTGGTAATCCAGCTAATAAACACCCCCTAACCTCAGTACTTGCTTATTCTATGATGCGTAAAATAAATAAAACGTAACTTCATTAACCTTATTTTGAATTCTCTTTTGCACGGTGAGAAAAATAAAACTATTAAATGCAATTAATTGCACTTTTAACGGATAACTACAAACACTGACCATATAATTTTGTCAAAGAAACAAGGTGATTGATGCACAGATACTAACAAATTCAAAAAATTTTCCACAGAAGACAATATGACCAGGTAACCCAATTCATTGTTAAATAACTTCCTATTGTTAGGTTGTAAGCTACTGTTATCAATCATTCTAATTAAAAACTTCTAAAATCTTATTTTTAAAAAATATCTATGAAATGTTCATTCAGTGAGGTGTGTTCCTTCACTGGTTGGATTACCCTATATTTACAAAAGCAATGTCTTACAATTTGTTGGACAAGCTTCTTGACACATTATCTTTAAACTTAAAAATAATAATAATAATAACAATTTAAAAATAAACTTTTATGACTTGCAAATGTCCCAAAAATTTGAACATTGTCAAAATCACCCATACATTTTTTTTTTCAAACACCCATACATTTTTTTTTCAAACACCCACTACAGATGAATTTTTCAAACGACAAATTTGTGGCCAACCATTTCTTTAGTTAGCATTTAAACGATTAATGTTTTTGTTTTTTTTATCCTTCAAATTCTTTGAACTATTTAAACAGAGCTGTCTATTCCTATATTAAATTTTTTCCAGGGCTATTTATATTAAATTTTCACCAAAATTTTTAATAGAGTGCTAGACAATTAAAAACTTATACTTTCTGAATTTCTTTTAATTTTGCCAGCATTTTAAAAGCTTTATCACGAGAGAGCTAAGGAACGAATTTTTGAATCATTTACATGTAGTGGTAAGATAAATAACTTTAAATCAAATTTACAAAATGCGATAAAATTTATAAAACATGCATTAAAGCACCTAGCTACCACTGGGAAAAATTTTTCCAAAAAACTGTAAAGTTTGCCCCCCTGCATTAAAGCTTGTATGTAATAAATGGTTCACATATAAAAAACATCTAAGTTTAAAAAAAAAACACGTCAGACACATTCCTGCCAACTGCTACGCTTCCTGCAAAATATTTTATAGAGTGGTTGGGTAGACATTTAAAAACCAAAGCTTTTTGAATTTTTGGTAGTTTTGCGAACATTTTAAAAGCCCCACCATATGAGAGTTAGAAAATTAGAGCATTGTTTTTGAACTTTTAATTCATTTATATTTAGTAGTGTGGAAAATAAGTTTAAATGAACAAAAAACAAAACATTTAAAAGATAAAATTAGCTACCACTAGAATATATTTTTACAGAAAGGGCAGAAAGTTGGCAGTCCTGATTACATCTTATGTTATATCAAATAAACATTAATTTTTGTTGCTTACCACATTAGTTATAAAAATATCACGGTGTTTTAACTTTCGATCCAAATATAAATATTTATATGATTGATATGTAAGGATAGACCAAACTATTTTTCTCCTGCAACCTTATGATAAAACACTGTGGCTCTAACTTGTTTTTTAAATAAATAAATAATGAAAGAAGGATTGGTTTTTTTTAAGGAATGCTAGGCCCAAATGGGTTAATATTTATTTTTATAAAAGAAATGAAAAAAAGGTACCGTTCTTTTAAAAGGACGTTTGGTTCAAATGGGTTAATGTTTATTTTATTTTATTTATTTATACAAAAAAAATTATGGAAAAAGGAACCGTCCTTTTAAAAGGACACTCGGTCCAAATGGTTATATGTTTGTTTGATTTTTTTTTTTATTATTTATTTATTTAAAAGCAAATAATGAGAAAAGGAGCCGTCCTTTTAAAAGGACGCTCGGTCCAAATAAATATATGTTTGTTTGATTTCATTTATTTATTTATTTTAAAAAAATAATAGAAAAAGGAGCCGTCTTTTTAAGAGACGTTATGCATAAATGGGTTAATGCTTATTTTTTTATTTTAGTTTCGCTAGAAAAAAAAAAAGAAGAAACAAAAAAGGATGTAAAAAGGAACTGTCTTTTTAAAATGACGCTATACCCAAATAAATGGGTTAATGTTTATTTACGCTACGTTTACTATAAACGTTGCTATCGTGGCGTTCTGATTTCAAAATCTTAAGCAGTCTTAACTTCATCAATGAGACCATTTTTTAATCGTTAAGAAAACAATGTAAGATAATGGGAAATAGAGGGGGTGTAAAATCGTAGAACAAAATCCGGATGCCGATGAAATTGCGGGAGGAGGAAGAGGGGATGAAAAAGTGGAAAAAGAGGTGGGGCAAGATGGGTGCGCCGATCGTGAAATTAACCCTCATTTAGGCGTTCGGGCCGCCTTAAACAGAAGCCGCAGAACAAGCAGCGTGAGTTACGGGCAAATACAACGAGTCGATCAAGGGGTTGCTCAACACGCGTCGACGGAGCTCAGTTTGGAAGTTGAGCGGCGACGTACCGTTCTCAGTCCCGCATCAAAAGCGAACAGTTGCCGTGAGAATTCAAAAGGTATCTTTTGCTTTATATTTGGTCTAGATTGAAATAATTTTATTTGTTATTTTTTAATTCAATATTTTTAATTAATAATCTTGTTTTAGATATGAACATTTAAAAGGGCAAATAAAATACCACTACAAGATATACTTAACTGGTGGTTGCAACTTCCTGTAAAAAAAAATTTAATTTCGTTTTAAATTAACACAAATTTTAATTTAATTTATAACTTTCAATTAAATTTTGAAAATAACTCCATATGCATTTTTAAAAATAACAATAATTACTTAATATATTAACATGCTACAATAATTAAAATATCTCGCTTCATCTAAAAATAGGAGAAAAATATCAAATCTTACTACCACTATGTTAATTTTAATAGGATTGGAAGGTACAAAAAGACACTTACCTCAAGCGTTCGTAAGGGATTTTTTTTTTTACAGAATTGAAAAGTGGGAGCAAAATTATGAAAATTAGGTAATTTTTAATACCTTTGTATTCCCATTACACTTCGGCTTTTTAGGAAGATTTTATATTTATAATATGGTGGTAAAATTTATATAATTACATTTCATTCTTTTTTAGATAATTAGATAAATGTGGTTAAAAATGATTTTGACGACCACTATATTTAAATAATTTAAACATATATACATAATAAGCCTGTTGTAGAGAGTTGCGGACAATCCAACTTGTATAGTTGTTAAAAGGGATTTTTCAAAGTTGTTTCAAAACAACAATTAAGTTTGGAAGAACTTTCCAAAGATAAAACTACTAAGATATCTATAAGCAAAATTGGCCAACAAATAGATCTTTTCTTCATATTTTTTAAAATTATTGATTCGTTGTTGTAAACTAAAAACAATTAATACACCAAAATGCTAATGTCACTACCACTAAAATTATTTCTCAACGGCAGTACGTGTTGGCTAAACATTAACAAACACCAGCATACAATCTTTATTTAATTAGCTTTTCCTTACCACAAGGAAAACTTTTTTTTGAAAAGCGTAAAAGTTGGCAAGTATGCACTTAATATTTCCAAATAAATATATTTGATCACAAACTCAGATTTCTAATTTTGAAGTGAAATAATAATAATAATAACAATTAATAATGAAAATTTGTAACTTTTTTATTGGTATATCAAACCGATTTTTGAAGGACCGTTCGATCACTGTAACTCATACAGTGGTCGCCGCATTCCATAAAGAATTCGTAGCAGATAACCAATGTTTTATAGTTTAAAGAGTAGTTACATTTTATCTCATACTTTATTGAAACTGTTATATTTACTTAATTTTAGAATTTAACAAGATGACATAAATTTTAACATACCCCGATATTGAAAATATCTCATTTCACCCTAATGTAATGAAGGGAAAAAAATCATAATTATCTTACTACTTTTTTATTTTGTTGACTTTCGCTCTTTAGTAAATATGTAAATACTGTAATCAAAGACATAGTAGTTAATATATAATTAAAAGATTTAATTGAAATTCCTTCAGCAATCTATTAAAATCTCTTATATTTAATCTATTCAATTGATTCCAATTTAAAATTATTTAACAATCCAACTCTCTAATCAATTACTAATAATTGGAGATATTATCACCTATGAATTATTGAATGCTACAATTATTTTTTTACTAGCTAATATATTAATGAATATCATTTTAAGTACTGAAACACTGTTCATTACCTAACTTAGGTATAAAATATTCTATAAATACCGGGATGCTGCTACACTTTCTGCGACGCATATTATAGAGTGAAAACCAATTAAGAACTAGAGTTTTCAGAATTCTTAGCAAATTTTCTAAAATTTGGAAATCCTCAATGTGGTACAAAAGGAATTTTCTCATAAACTTTCGAATCATTTACATGTAGTGGTGAAAGACAAAAACTTTCAATCAAATTTTAACATTAGAAAAAATTTAAGAAGAAATCATTCGAAGAAATTTTCTCAAAAAAAGGAGTTCAAAGTTGACTAATCATATATGTTTTAAAATCAAATTGACCGAAAACCAACTCTGTAATAATAATGATTGTATCTTTAAAATGAGTATGCCTACGCTTTGTGGAAAACTTTTCTTCCACTTGTACCTGAGTTTATGCTTTAATGTATAATTCTTTGTTTTGTAACTTGTAAATTTGATATACTGTTATTTTTCACACCACACATGGATATGATTCGAAAGTTCATATAAAACGGCAGTTTGATACCCTTTTCTCGCAGAGATAACAACTTGCTCCAAACAGCAAATATATATTTTAAAGTGGTAGTTTATCAATTGTGATTCTTGGTCTAATAAATTCAATATAGTAGATTTTTATCCACCACTATTTCTAAATAATTCTTAGTCTTATATAATTCACCACTGTAAAGTACTTATGTCATGCAATACCTGTTAAAAGGCAAGCAAAAATAGTCAGATATTTGCAAAATTTACGTTGTAGTTATTTGCCGTTTTTTTTTTTTTATTATTTCGGCGTGTGCGGAGCAGTTGGCATCTCTGGCAAGGCTATTAAAATGATGGCAAATTTAACCAAAATTCTGAAAGATTTATTGTTCCGTTGTCAACAACTCAGTAATATATTTTGCAAGAAGCGTAGTTGTTGGCAGTCCTGCTATGGTTACAGGGATGCCACAGACGACTATGAATCTGAAAAATAGTAGAAACTCAACTCATTTTTTTTAATCTAATATCTCTTTAATTATACATTAGTATCTAACATTATGACTTACATTTCAAATTAACAGGGCTTAACTACAACACAAAGTGACGTATCTCTTATGCCTTTGAATTATTTTTGAAGTAGAGGGGAGCAAAAACCATATAAGTTGAATTTACTAAACCAAAAAACATACATTGGAGACAACCACTCGAAAATATTTATCCGCAGTCCGAAGAAAGTTGCATACTTTCACCACTTTTCCCATTTTTAGTCGCCTGTTTCTGTTATCCTTAGAATAACTTCCATTTATACAAATAATGTATTTATCTATGTGACGCGGTAATCACAATCGTTTTAGATTAAATTTAAAATTAAAATTAAATTTATGAATTTTATTACCATTTTAAACATGAAAATGAAATAACCAGAAAAATCCGTAGTGGTTTAAAAATTTAGCTTCATTTATATTTTAATACTATAATCAGATATTTAAAGTTAAGAAGAAATGCTTTATCTACCATGGAAATCAATGATTCAAACTTCTAAACCTAAGGCCCATAAGTTCGGTAGATGTATACTTTTAAAGAAACGAAGTAACTAAATTTTTTTACAATTTAATCCAACTTTGTAAAATATACACAATTTATTACCATTTGAATCAGTCGCAGTTTTGTTCGTTCAATTTTGTTATCATTTATAAAGTAATGTCCAGGCCTAACTTGGCACGTGCCATTTAAGGTCTGAAGAAAACAAATAAAGTGGTTTTCTACCAGTTTTTTGTTTATTTTCGATCTAATCTTCCACCTTTCTGTAGATACTACAAAAGCAAGCTTTGTGATAGAATTCTTTATTGAATTCAAGAATGTATAGGACTCTGTCTCGCATAGCAAAGTATTCGCCCTACTAATTGTTTATGCGTAATCGTTATGCTAATGGTTATACGCAGATTTGCGTAAACAACGTAATTATTTACATCAATCAACGCTCGTCGTTCAATCGCAGCTTACGGTATTGGGCAACGCAATGTAAAACACGTAACAATTTTATTGTCAATATAAAAGAAGTATGACACAAAATAATATTCATATTGTATTTCATTAAAATTTCGAGTTTTGATAGACAATTGTATATTTTTTATTATTTAACAAGACGATAATACACGTCATGCACATCGTAATAGAGATTTTGTCCGACGTGTATATGCGTCAAATGCACTGCCTGATATCAGCTCTGCTAAGGCTTAAGTGATAGTTATCATCTCTTACGGATTTTCCCCAAAAAATTTTACTTACATTTAAAGTCTTAAAAAAGCATTAAATTCAACTTTATTCTTAACTTAATAAAATACATTTTAAAGGATCTTAACAATCAAATCATTTAAGCAAATGGCAGCTATCTAATGCAGTTTTCAAGTGCTATTCAATTTTAAAATTAACTTTTTATAATTGTCATTTTTTTCTGTGCCACACGAATTTTTAAAGAAAATTATTATAAAAAAAGACGATAATAGTTGGAAGTTGTTCAGAAGTATAAGAAACAATCTGCATCAACATTCAATACTTTTCCAACATCGAAAAGAAAGCTATTCGTGTCAAAAAAAAATTTCATGACAATTCTAATCGTGGTTACATGATTTGATACAACCCTTTTTATCTTCATGAGCTACTGATGTTACAAAGTATTTTATTTTAGTACAAATCATAACGCGTTTGTGTTAGGCGATATTCGATTAAGTTTAAATTTTTACGATCATATAATAAAAAGAGTGAAGGAAGAATTTTCTTACTTTAAAAAACAATCACAAACAAATTTGAAATCGTCATTTATAATCCACATTTTGTTTGAAGAATAAAAAACGATTTTTGACAACGGTGAAAAATTCCAATATTCAATGGCCTTAACAATTTGTTGCAATAACAAATCTGAAAACAAGTGAAAATTTTAATTTATTTTTGTAGTTTAATTTTAAATTTAAAATTTTATTTAATTTTGTAATTTTTAAACCCTTTCAAAATTGTTCAACCATAGCGCTCTCAGATAGATGACGACCATAATTATTCAAAATTATTCAACCAAATTCCCAGGAATGTTTATTCAATAATATTTTCAAATTCCCAGGAATGTTTTAGTTTATTGCCTATTAGCGAAGATGATTAATTCCAATACGCGTCAAATTTTTAGTATAGTAATAGCAAGTATTACCTGTTTAGATTAACTATTTTACTTATAATATGATGACAAAATGCATACAAAATCATAGAAATCATGAACTCACATTAATGTATTAAACAAATCACAAGTTATTAAAAAAAGGCTATTTAATAGTTTTA